ACAGTTCAAATTATGTATAAACTTCTAAATGAGTCAAAAAACCCATTAGGCTTTAAATTTAAAAAATGGGCAGTAAGCAATATAAGAAGCATGCAAACGCTATGCAACGATGACTGGAAATAGTTCTTTTTTTTTTAAAAAAAAAAAAAAAAACTACAAACAAAAAAGCAAACGTTATTCTATTTAAAATAGCAAACTTTATTATACCAACAAATGAAAATATATTTAGCAGAAATATAAGTGAAGACAAATTATGCCCACAGTGCAAAGCGCAAGATGAAAATATAGCCCATATGATGTATGCCTGTAAAAAAGTGCAACCTTCGATACTATTTTTATTAGATATTTTATATCAACTTTACCTTTCTAAATATCCTCATCTTAATACTATTAAATTTATATTATACGGATATAGCGCTTACGCGCGCGATCGCGAATTTTTTTTTTTTTTTTTTTTTTTTTTTATTATTATTATAGTTGTAGCCGTAAATTTACATAGAATGTACACATACAGCGAGCAGGGGAAACACCCCACTATAAACAACCAGTTTTATAAATATTTGTTCCAAACTTTTTCCACAACCAGGAGTCTAGTCTATTTTTGAAAGAAAGTACAGTGGAGTACAAAGTTATTTGCTCTGGTAGATTGTTCCAGTATTTTGCTGATCTATTATACAAATGATTATATCTTGGAAGACAGTTTAGAACATACTCACGCCTTATTTTAGAATGGTGACCACGAGACACGGAGTTAATATATTTTGGTAGATATTTATCATTAACTATATCAAAACGATGTATTAATTTAAAAATTTGGATTAAATCGCATCGAAGGCGTCGAAACTCAAGTGATGGTAGGTTTAATCTTTTTAGCCTTTCGCAGTATTGAAGATGCCTCAAGCTGTAAGCCCATTTTATAGCTTTGCGTTGAACAGATTCAACCAAAGCCATATCAGCTTTTAAAAAAGGAGCCCAAATGGACACTCCATATTCAAGATGTGGTCTTATAAATACTTTATATAATTTGAGAGCCATTTTTTCATCAATGAAAGTGAATGTCTTTTTCAGCATACCGAGAATTTGTAAGGACTTAGAGACAACTGTTTGAATATGAGCGCTCCACTTGAGGTTAGATGTAAAAATGACTCCTAAATCGCGTTCTTTAGTAGAGCTTCTTAGAGATTGGTTGATTCCTTGGTTATTTTGAAGAAAGTAATTGTAATGGGGGTTGTTTCGACCGTAATGAATGACGCAGCATTTTGAAGTGTTTAGCTTAAGTAACCAAGTGTTTGACCACTCGTATACCAAGCGTAGACGATCCTGCAGATCAACAAAATTAGATTGCGATAAGGTTTTAGAAAAAAGTTTAGTATCATCGGCAAATATCTCAGAAGTTTCAGTGAGTTTTGCGAGATCATTTGTGTAGAGAATGAAGAGGAGCGGGCCGAGAACAGAACCTTGAGGAACACCACTGAGAACATCAACCCATGCAGAGCTGGTATTGTTAATTGTAACGCGTTGCTTTCTGCCCACTAAAAAAGATTTAATCCATTGTAGGAGTTTGCCGTTTATTCCGAAAGATCTTAATTTTAACAAAAGTCTGTTGTGAGGTACAGAGTCAAACGCTTTGGCAAAGTCAAGATAGATTACATCAATAAATTGGTGAGATACTATGGAGGACGAAATGATATCAAAAGTTTCTATTAGGTTAGTTACGCATGATTTATGATAAAGGAAGCCATGTTGATTTGCAGAGAGCATTTTATTATCGTTAATGTGCTTTAAAATTTTTTTCTTTACAAGTTTTTCAAAGATTTTACAGGCAACAGATGTTAGTGAAATAGGTCTATAGTTTTCAGCAAGTAATTTATCTCCCTTTTTTTTATAGATCGGACTAATATTTGCTAATTTCCATTGAGTGGGTACTACTCCAGAATTAAAGGATTTATGAAAGATTTTTGTTAATGGAATTGCAAAGCTTTTGGCACATATCTTGAGTATTAAGGGATGCAAGCCGTCAGATCCGAAGGACTTATAAGGCTTTAGATCGGCAAGTTCCTGAATAATATCTGAGATAGAGAAATCCAAGTTTTCATTATAAATGCATTCAGAAAGAATACCACTTTTATTTAGCAAAGGAAAATTTTCAGAGCTTTCAAGTGTAAACATAGATTTAAATTGAGAGTTCAGAAGATCAACTATATCAGGAAGAGCTTCAATAATTCTGCCTGAAGTATCTTTGAGAGAGCGAATTCTATCTTTAATTTTTAGTTGTTTGTTGATATATTTGTAAACGATTTTTGGGTTGTTTTGGGATTTTGATATTATTTCTTTTTCATGTGCTTTTTTTGCTTTAAATATTTCAGTTTTTACTGAACGATTAAGGCGATTGTATTTTATTTTAAGCTCACTATTCTCCCATTTGGTAGAGCAGTTTATATGCCAAGCGGATTTTTTTTCTCGGATCAGGTTTTTAATATGTGGGGTAACCCAAGGATCATACTTTTTTTTTTGTTTTATTAATCTTGGGAATAAAATATGTGGAAGCAGTGCGATAGTTAGAAATTAGTATATTAAACATTTGATCTGCAGTTTTATGCAGGAATAAAAACTCCCAGTCGATTGATGCAATAAAGTTAGATATTGAATCGTAATCACCTTTTTTGTAATTAAACGATTGAGATTCACTTTCGGTAAACAGTTCTGAAACTAAGAATCTCCAAGTGATACTAAAATGACCCTTAGTGGTGTTACCTAGTATAGTACTAGGAGACAAGTTTAAAATAGAATTACTGTTGTAGGTAAATAACAAGTCCAACATATTATTTGAGGAACCATAATCAGTCTGGAAAGTAGGAAATGTGATATGTTGAGTAAAAAGGCTGTTTTGGAAAATATTCCAGAAATCATACTCGGTAGGATTGTTTGGGTTAAAAGATTCAATACCATCGTTAGACCACTTTATATTCGGGAAGTTAAAGTCACCGACAATCAAACAGTCATCATAGGGCTTTTTAATTAAACTATGAGCTAATTTGAAGGATTCAGCGACATATTTTATTAAACTGGCATCATTTGGTCTGTATATACAACCGATAAGTATATGTTTGTTGTTAAATTTTACAGATACCCAGACTTGTTCGAGAAGATTTGTATAAAATTGGTTAACTTCATGAGAGTTAAATACGTCTGTAATGTAGATAGCTACACCGCCACCTCGACGTCCGTCTTGACGATCTTTACGATATAGGCTATACCCATCGATATTAGGTACTGAGTCATTTCGAAACCATGTTTCAGAGATAGCAATAACGTGATAATCAAACGTTCTAGATATTGAAATTAAATCGGCCATTTTATTATCGAGAGATGTAGCATTAGTATAATAACAATTAACGCTATAGTTTGTTTTTTTGTTATGAAGATTTTTACTTTTGTATTTTAAGCTTGCTGGTAAAAGAGTGGAAGAAGGGTAGTAATGTTTATGTAGTGGTTTGTATATTTTTGAGTTTGACGACTCCGCTGCTTCGTATACCGTATCTAAAGGGCGATGTTTTTAAATTGATATTACTATTTAATTTATTACGCTTCATTCTTAACTGATAGTTTAAATATCTTTCAGCCTCAGTCAAATCTGGGCTTATAAAAATATTTTTATAATTATCTGAATTTTTCAATTTTTTTGCTGCTGTTAATAATGGGTTTCTTTCGGAGACATCAGAAAGTTCAACGAATATTGGTCCTGGTTTAGAGGACGTAGATTTAATACGTTTGACAGATTTTGGTTTTGCATCAGATGAAATAGTAACTAAGATATTCTGAACCGTTTCCTTATCGTCGATATGCTTATCAGCAACTGATAACTTTGCAGATTCTTTAATGCCATAAATAATAACATTTTTTTCACGCTTCTTTTTTTGCTGTTGCTCAATGGCAAATGTGTTGATAATTTTTAGTTGTTCAATAGGCTGCTTTTTTTTTTATGTTTTTGCTTGCAACTGTAACCCAGCTGGATTCGATACTACTGGTTGTGGTATTAGTTAGCTCATTAGGATTTTGGATTAGCTTATCTATTATTAATTGTTGTTGCTTTATTACTTGTTCTAGTTCAGATATTTTGGCCGACCATTTCGCAGTTTCAGCATGAATAAGTTTTTTAATTGCGTCCTCGACTTGCTTTAATTGAGCTGGTGTTAAATTAGTCATCACAGATGAATTTTTTTTTTTTTTTTTTTATATCAGTGATGTTTTTATGTTTATTTATTTGTTACAATTATTGCAAATTTTAAATTAAAATTTGGAAATATTTTATTGGAAACTTTAATTGTGGAAATATATTATAACAAACTTAAATCTTATTTTGAAAAGAAAACATTTAATATTAAGTTTTTGCTCAAAAAATTTGAAAATAAAATAAAATACCTGAAGAACTCCTAATAATTAATTTTCAAAACATCACAGAGATGAAATTAGAAATATATTTGACGTAAATAATATTATGAGTTTTTTATCATCTGATGTTTTTTTCCCTTTTATGATTTGTCGTTTTTTCGATTAATCTTTTAATTTTATTTTTTCGTTTTAATTTTGCTTTTATTTGTTTTCTTCGGTTTTTTTTGATAATTTATTTTTCTGTTTTTTTTACGAATCTTTGTAAAACGGCTATATATTATGCGGGTTTTTTTACAGGTCTTTGTAACTACGATTTTGATCCTTCTTGGAGGAACGTCAGTAAGGCAATTAGCCGGCTGACGGGAAAAATACAATATACAAATCTTTCGCCTTTTACTAAAAATTTCCGTGGAGAAGGCCAATTAAATAACCTCGTGGGTTACGAGGCTATTCAAACTTTTCGGACGAATTGAAAATCCACATATTTAATCCTAATCGGACGAATTGAAATTTACGTATTTAGTTCTATACATTAATCCTCTTTAGCAATACAAAAACGAAAGAATAACTTAAAGATCTCGAATCTAGTTATTTACCTTTGGGATTAATGGCTCGCGTTAGCAAGCCTACGAAAAATAATTATACACTCATTAAATTGGCCTTCTCCACGGAAATCTTTAGTAAAAGGCGAAAGATTTGTACGATAATGAAGAAAGCCCAGAGTTAATCGATTGATACAATTTAAAATGATAAAATGTTTATACATTAGTATTGCTTGTGGGTATATATATCTATATATTTATAGCTAGATATAGATAGATATATATATTTATAGCTTTTTTAGCTGAGTTAAAATAAAAACATTTTTGCGTGGAGTTGATTTATTTATTTAGTTTATTTTTTATTAATTTTTTTTGTTTATTATAATTTGTTTATTTTGAGTTTTGATGTTTAAAAAATAACAGGGGTTGTAAATTACAATAATTAATGGCGGTTAAAAATGAACGGGTGCTATAAATTATAAATAACTAATGAGACTTATTTGTTTATATATATATACATATATATATATATATATATATATATATATATATATATATATATATATATATATATATATATATATATATATATATATATATATATATATATATATATATATATATATATATATATATATATATATATATATATATATATATATATATATATATATATATATATATATATATATATATATATATATATATATATATATATATATATATATATATATATATATATATATATATATATATATATATATATAGAATAGTGCAATGCATTACCAAAATAAATATATACAGAATAGTTTATTTTATTTATCAATAAATATATACAAAAAACACCATAAAAAATAAATTTTGGGGGGAATTTTCCAAATTATTATGTAATACTTAATATAATATGTAATAGATGTTAAAACGCAGCTCATTCAAAACAATTTTTTAATGTTGTGTTTTTAATTTTCTAAATGTTTTTAAATTAATTTTTGATAAAATAACTCCCGTAGATTACAATCGAAATAGGGTGCGAATTTGCAACTCTTTCGTGTAAGATACGCAAAGTTAAATTAAAGTTAAGTTAAATTTCCTGTACGATACGCAAGTTAAACTGTAACTGTAAGTTAAGCTAACACTAATCTGTTTTCATGGCAATCTGTTTTATGATATTAAACAGTAATTAGTGGAAATGAATTGATATTTTGTATTTTTTTTTTATCTGTTTTGCTTGCTAAAAAAGAACTCTTTACAGTTTTATTACTTTTTTAAATCAGTTTTCTATTTTATGGCTATTAGTAGGGCTGTGTAAAAAGAATCTCAATTATATAATATTTTATTTTTATAATAATATTTTGACTTTAAATTAACAATATATGATTAAACTGTTTAACTTAAGATAAAATCATATAATTGTTACGAATATATTACTAAGTACTTATATAATTATTTTAACGCACTTATTTGTTTTCTAATACTTTTGTGTACTTCAATGTAATTGAAATTCAATTTCACCTCAGCAATAAGATATTGGAATAATTAAAATTAAAAATTTTTTTTTTAATGTTTATCTTTCAAACTTTCTTTTTATCGTTAATCTTTTCAACTTTTTCACATATTAAACACGGAGTGAAGTATTGATGACATAGAATAAGTATAGTATGAAGTATAATATATCCGGAATAGTATGAATATATATATATATATATATATATATATATATATATATATATATATATATATATATATATATAGTATAATATATACGGGATATAATATACGAAGTATAGTATGGAATATAATACATGGAATAATAGATAACATGGAATAAGTATAGATACCTTTAGTGAAAAGGTTTATTGTGGCGCTTGGAGTATTGTATCATTTAATAAAAAAATATTGTGATTCGGGATCATTTATAGTTTTAAATGTTAATAAATTTTTAAATATAAAATCTTTTAACAAAGGAATAACTATGCGCGATAACAATATACAAAAATGTATTTGCACTAATACAACATCAGTATATTGTAATGTTATTTGTTAATGTTAGAAGGTAAATTTCGTAAAAATGAATAAATATGATATAAAGAAATAGGATGTTGATACTGCTACATTTTACCATTAAACCATGGGTACGCGGCATTAATAGTAACATGTGATATTATTTACCATTAATGATGCTAACCATATTTTGAAAACGCAAAAAAATTAAGGAGGCTGTTTAAATGATAAAGACTTTAATAAGTTTGCGTGGAGCAAAAAGAAAAAAAAAATCGGTTTCCCATATGTAATATATTCTTATTCTTTCTTAAATAGTGTGGATGCACCGAATCAAAAAAAATTTTAAAAATCGCTGCCCCCTCTTTCTAAATAGTCTTAATCCGCCCATGTAATGCACATAGCTTTTTTTTTTACTGGATAAAACAAATCTTTGTTGAAAATGCTGATTACCCGCTAAAGTAGCAATCTACTTTTTCAGATCGAAAAGTTTGCTCAATAACTAAATAAAAATTAAATTTTTTAATATTTATCTTATTTAGTTATTGGGCAAACATTTAATAAAGTATTTGAATGTTTTAAGTTTTAAATTTCTTATTTTTAAATAAATATAAATAGATAAAAAAGGATCATATCAAAACAAAAGACCGAATTTAATTTTTCATATTTGGAATATTTTTTTAAAATTTATTAGAAATTTTGCTATTAAAAAAAAAAGCCTACACCAAACATTTGAAAAAATCTCAATTGATGTCTATTAATATATACTTTATGTTAATAACTGTTTCGGTTTTGATAATCAATAGAAATTTTTTTAACAATAGAATTTGACTCAAATTTAACCTAGGGTGTGTATGTTAACTTAAGCCCGAATATTATAAAATTGTTTTTTCAACCGCTGTGGTTGTTTTACATAATAATAATAATAAATAATAATATATTTGTTTTTGCAACAGTAAGTAGACTACTTAATTCGATTTTGTATTACCAATTATTTTGTAGCACCGAATGGACCTCAGTTTTTTTTTGCGGCTATTACGGTGCTCGAAGAAGACGTAACTCTCCTTTCTTACCAATTTTTCAAATGTGGTTAGAGCTGGCATTGAACCTCGTAATTCTGAAACAAGCGCCCTTACCACTGCGCCCCAGCAGCCCTAAACTAAAGTTTTAGTCCAAAATCAATATTTAATTAGATTATCATCTTAGTTAGTTCTAAAAAACTGGTGCATACATAATTTGTGTCTGCAGCCAAACAATCAGTTACCCACCATAAAAATTTCGATTGAATAAATTATTAATTTTTGAAACAATTAGTTATTTTAAGAACTATGTAAAAATATGAAAAAAAAATAAAATGAAACAATCAAATCTGTTATTAAAAAAATTCATTATATATTTATAATCTATATATTTATGTTAATATAATTTGTAATTCAATTATTTTAAAAGCTAACACTTGCACAATAAAATTTGAGACTGGCTTTAAACCTCAATTAAAACTTCAATAAACATGATAATTTTTTTTTAGTATATGTGCAAATATTAAAATGTGCAGAATACAAAAATTAAAAAAAATGTTATTACAATACTACATATCTTCAAATTCGGTCTGTTAATGGCACTTTGGCATTTTAAATTATTATCTAAACAAACAATAATCAGACAATTTATATGCTTTTAATTAATAGAGGAAAAATAGATCTTTAAATTGATACTAAATACTATTTATTTTATCAAACTAATTAATTATCGCTAATTAAAGCTAGTCTCAAATGTTATGACACAGGTATTATATATTCATATAATTATAGATTTTTTGATAAAAGCATTAAAATAAAATGGTAGCCTGTTGCGATGGTAATCATAAAAAAATACCAAATAACAGCCAAAACAGGTTTCATGCTGGCCATTATGAGCAAGAAACAAAAAAAAACACTGGTTAAAATTTTCATACAGCCCCTTCGCATGCGTCACTGGTAAAAGCAAACACATTGCGCATATAATCATCTACTACAAAAAAAAAAACATATACAAATCAAATTTTTAAAAATTGTATTTACATTACAAATTATATGAATCATATATGCAAACTTTTCGACCAAGTCGGAGAGATGAGTGCAACTCCTAATTTTCAATAACAGTTTTTATTACCCTATCCATTATAACAGTTTTTATTACCCTATAGAATGCAGTGTATTACACAGGTTTCAACTTAAAACAAAAACTTAAAGCGAGCTATAAATTTTTTCCACAGGAGGGTGACCATACCATTCAACATTGCATTTGATTGTATTTCCATTTACTTGAGATACTTCGTACCTATTTAAATTAACTGAACTATTTCTTAAGTCCTCGATTGTACAATCAAGATGACTATGCTCTTTATTTGGATCCAAACAATGATAGTCGTCTCCAGGACATGTTAACTGGAAAAGTTAAGAAGCGTAAAACATAAAACACACTAAAAAAATCTATTATTAAATTGAATATATCGAATTTCAAATAATTTTTAACTTACAACACGGCCATCTTTTAATGATATTTGATAAGGACACCACATTTGTAGACCAAATCTTTCTCTATCTTTTGCAAACTGCTTAAACTCGTTCCAATCGTTATGCCTAAAAAGAATGTATTACTATTTCAGCACTTCGATTCATGCTGTTCTTTTTTCAAAAAATTGTCACGTAGACATTTGCATAATAACAAAAAAAAAAAAAAAAAAAAAAACACGACCTTTGAATCCTTAAAAGCTCGTATACTTGTGGAGGAGGTAAAATCTTTCGGTGGTTATTTAAAAACTCTTTTGGACTACACCATACTGATTCAACAACTTCACATTTATCTGCTTTACTTGGTGGAATATCAGGTAGAAAGCAAGTGTAAAAAATTGTATCAAATCTATACTGACTCTTTTTGAATGCAGGAGTTAGCCATGTTGACCATTCAAAGAGGTTATAAATGTTTAGCAAAAGTTTTGAGCATCTAATAAATAATGATATCTTACATTACTGTATATAAAATTTAAAAAATAGTCCACACCAACATACCTAAACAATGCCAAAAACTCATTAGCATCATTGTTTACTTTTTCACGCCAAACCTTTAAAGTATGATATTGTCCACCTATTTCAATGTTTGGATCAGAAAGTGCTATACTTTCGCCTTTATCATTTGTAACCAGCAAAACTCCACATTCTTCAAATGTTTCACGCAATGCGCATATACGAAATGCTAATTCAGGCTGCAAGGATTCCATAGAGCTATTACTTGTGTAGATATAAGGACGATTAACTAAACTCAAAGATCTTTGACAATTAACTGGAAGCACATCCACCCATTCTTTTTTAAAATCTGCACTTGAAACGACACCACCAGGAAACACATAGCTATTTGGCTAAATAGATACAAATACATGTGATGCATAAATGCACTAAACAATGCCCAATGCCAAATATAGACATAGTAATAACAAAAAATTTTTAAATAATAATAACTATAAAAGGTTAGTAAACAATATATATATATATATATATATATATATTTTATATATATATATATATATATATATATATATATATATATATATATATATATATATATATATATATATATATATATATATATATATATATATATATATATATATATATATATATATATATCAAGCCTTCCCAGGAAAGGCGTGCGGTTTTTCGTCTCGTACGACCACGAAAACGTTTTTCAAGTTAGAGAACGTGATCACGGCCGTTTGCGCAAGTTATATGCATTACTGAAAAATTGTTTTAAATTTAATAACTACATAAGAAATTAAAGTAAACTTAAATAGAAAACAATAATAATTGTTTAAATAATTTGTGTGTTGTTTTTATTTTTGTTCTTTCTAGTGACTAAAGTGTTATTACTTTTGTAGTCGTAAGTTTATTGTTTTTGTTTTGTTTTTTGTAACTTTCTCGCTAGCAAACTTTTAATAATTTGCTCTTCATTAACAAAGTACACAGCTTTGCATGAACTAAAATTTTAAAGACCTAATATTTTACCAGAGATTGCAAATCGCGATCGTATAATTTAACTCTTGATATAAACTTGTTACATTATAATTATACAAATATATTTTACATACAGATGACGATACATATTTTCTCTTTCCTCTTTAAAAGAAAAAACACTTAAAATATGGGAAAACTTTTTAACGCATAAAACCGTTGTTTGTTTTTTTTTTGCTTTGACTTAATGAATTTTGTTGCCGATAATAATAACCAAAAAAAATCTAAAATTAGATAGATCAAGCTACAAAAATAACTGTCATAGTATTTTTGAAATATTTTTAAGTGACACTAACTGCATTGTAAAAGTAATAAAACTATAATAGTGTTATTACATTTATAAAGCATTATTATAAACTTGCAAACGGCCGTGTTGCAAGTTTATAATAATAACTGGGAAGGCTTGATATATATATATATATATATATATATATATATATATATATATAAATCTATAAATTGTTGGCTTTGAGAGTATGAAAGGTAAAAAATATACATATATATATATACACACACACATATATATATATTCCGTAAAATTAAGCAACAACACCTGGTAGTTAAAAAAAACCCCAGGTGTTTTTACACCAGGAGTTTTTTTTAACTACAAGGTACCAATGTTATTGACTCCGTGTTTCACGCCTATGACAATCATCAGATATTACAAATAATTTTAACGACAAAAAAATTAATTACAAAAATACTATGCAGTTTTCGTTTCGATGATGTATAAGTTGTTTATAAAAAATTTATTTTCATGGCGACATTATGATACCAGCTTATTTCTTTTGTTTAGTAATTTTAATTTTGATGTTATTATGTGATACCTTCCTTCCAAAGGGCATTGCAAAGTTTGTCAGCAGTTCCATTGTTGGTTGGTTGAGGTGCTGGTACTAGATAAAAAATTTTTATTGTGAGCAATGATAATATTTTTGATGTTAGCAACACAGATTTGAAAAATTGAAAAATTTTTTTTTTTTTTTTTTCTGTTTCTGGTCCACTGACCTTGAACAGAACAAATCTCAATACAATCGATTAGATTGCAATCCATATATATTGCTTATAGTATGCAGGATATAAAAACCAACAAGCTTGTACAACTCAGCCCAGCTCGAATATATATATATATATATATATATATATATATATATATATATATATATATATATACATATATATATATATATATATATATATATATATATATATACATATATATATATATATATATATATATATATATATATATATATATATATATATATATATATATATATATATATATATATATATTTATATATATGCATTTATATATGCATATATATATGCATATGTATATATACATACATATAAACATATATATGCATATATATATACATATATATATATATACATATATATATATATATATTATATATATATATATATATATATATATATATATATATATATATATATACTATAATAAATATATATACTATAATAAACTAGCCTTGGACATATTTTTGCGTCACGGTAAGGAAGCAGGCATGAATTTACTTGTTAATTACATTTCTGCAGTGCTCCGTGACAAGTATGTAAGGTCTTCTTGGGGCACCTAAATAACAATAAAATAAAATAAAAAAAGCCTAAGCACGAAAAGCTATTGTATATAATAAGAAAATGTTGCATAGTATTCAGCTTAATTAAAACCTAATGCACAACTCTTATGTTTTGTGAAACAAAATAAATCTTACCTGGAGATTTTTTTTACAGGTGTCAAAAAGATTTTGAAGACACTTGATTGCTTGTTCTGAACACTGATTTGTTCTGAGAATTTCCAGTGATGATTGATACTGATTCCAAACCTTTTTCACTGAATTTTATGTTTTTTGTGAATGTGCAAACTGCTACATAGTTTCTGATAATTATCTGCATCATAGATTTGGTCAGTAAACCAATGGTTTGCCCATCTGTAAGAGATAAATCTACTAATGTCGAGTAGTGAATCTATTCTCTATGGTAGAAGGATAAATGCATAAAGTGCTTGTATTACTCGAGAATTCCATCTTGCATTATTTAATTTAGGTATTTTCATTTTGGTAAATGATATAGAAATTTTATATCATGCCACACTGCTGCTTCAGTAATCACTTCTTAACCATTCTTAAAACTCTTCCTGAGCTGTTTATAGATCTTTACAAGTTTTGGGATAAATGGATATTTAATAATGGGCAACATGTTGTTTCCAAGTTCTTCATCCATTACTACACGTTGGACTTGCTCAAGAATATGATGTTGACAACCAATGAACTGTGGTTCCTGTTTCATTTCAGTAAAACAACTTGGTAACTGACTAACAATCCCATTCCATCTTCCGGTGTTTACATTTGTAGTATCCGCTACAATCATCTTTATACTTTTCCATAAACTATACTCATCAAGAATAACTGTATACTTCAACAACAGTATCTGCTTTTTCGTCTAGTAGATCTAGTGCTTGTAACTTCTCTATGTTTTTTATTTAACACTTGATATTTTTGGTGACTAATACGTTTATCATCAAAGTGCAGTAACCAGCTTTCTAAATGTAGTTTTTATTTCATTTCTTATTTAGGTTTAACAGCCTCTTTAATATGTTGAATATACAGTGTGTTAACCAGGAATAAATTATATAAAGCATTTTTCGTAATTACTTTGCTTTTCTTCTCCTTCCTTTTTATATATTACTTTCTCCTGCTCCATACCAGTACTGCATTAAACCTAAGATTTTAAGAAAAGGTCTCTTAAACTCCTCATGAACATTTAAGGCACCGTGTTAAAGATGTTAAAGATGAATATATTATCCATGCATGGCTTTGAAGCACCACAGAAATTAAACTCCGTTTTCTAATGATATATTGCCAAGACAAGTTATGCTAGTTTCAAAATTAAACATTAGAAAATAAGTTTAAAATTAATTAAACATGTCAAAATAAATGTTTTTTTCAATGTTTAGAAAAAAAAAGTTGTTTCACAATTATACTTCTGCTTAGAAGGTTAACGACTGCTTTTCTACTTTTATTTATAAAATACATCAAAGTATATGTTTATAACTGTTTATAACTTATTTTAAACAAATGTTTTCAGGATAACATTTTACAAGAAATTTTAAATTTATATATCTTAATTAGATTTAGTATGATCATTTCTTTCTTAATCTTTTTCAATTCTTTATAATTCTTTAAAAATGTCTTGAATTCTTTTAAAAAAGCAATCAATTGTTTTAAAATAATAACATTAATATACTTATTTTTAACATTTGTATATTTAAATTATATTTTGTTTATTTAATTTTAAAAGCGTATTAAAAATGATCTTGTTTATATTTTTAAATTAAAATAAACTACTTTAAGCTATAAAATTGAAATAAAATTGAAAAGATGATAAATAAACTTAAATAAAAATTTAACTTAAATAAAATTTGATAAATAAACTTGAAGAACTTTTTATTCAATGTTGTTAAAAACTGCAAAAGGGAAAATCCCAAATTTTATTTAAAAAACTTTTTTGTATTGACATCAAATAGAAAGTTTTTTTTTAAAAATAATACTAATCAGAGGTAACCATTTAAGAGAAACAAAATCCAAAATTTTTTTAATATATAATTTTTAATTTTTTTGAATTTATAAATATTTAATTTAAATTAATTCATTTTTAATTTAAATATTAAAAAAAAATTTAGTAAAAATTATGCATAATATTTTTTTCTATATGTAATTTACCTATTATTTTACATAAGAAAACATTTGTTTGCCATTTTTATTTTAATAATTGTATTTAGAATATTAATAACTTAATAACCAGACTGTAAAGGTCGCTGAATGTCAACCCTATCTTGAGATAACTGTCAACAAATGGTTGTTGCTTTGCTGGTTAATAACTTTGAGGTTATCAAATGTGACTAATTTGGTTGCAGTTTTGGTTTTGCTGTAATTCTTGGTGGTACTTGTGGACTGTTCTTCTGAATCTTCAGAAGAACAGTCCACAAGTACCAGCAACAATATATTAAACAACCTATTTAATTTAACGATTTACGATTAATATTACATTATACAAACTATTTACTTTTTCTTATGTGAAATGTAAAGGCACCTCAAGGAATATAATCGTAAAACAAAAAACTACTAATGTAAGTAATTTTATACCATTTTATATACTATCATTTATAACACATTGTAAATCATTTAAGTATATTTTTGTTCGATTAACCGTGTTCGATGAATTGAACACAATTGATCAAATCATTGTTAAACGATACATTATCGCTCCCTAACTTTAAATTTAACAAGAAAAAAAAAAATAATCAAGTAAAAAAAAAAAAATTTAACAA